CTTTCCCTATTTCTTTACTTACAGTAATCGTACGGCGGTAGCGCTACGAGTCATGCGGTTTTCTGCTTCTGTGGTTATGGGTGCGTCAGAGCTCGTGTAGTTCTCGTGGTTTGGAATCTTGTTTTTGAATCTTGTTGATAAATCAGTATCCCAGGAGAAGAACCAATGGACTGCTTGTCAGCGAGATAATTCCTTGTTAAGAGTTGACGTTCAGCGATGTGGCGGAACAGATGTCGGTATTGATAGATGTCGATGATGGTAGTTTTGAAACAGTAATGGTTTTAGTGATGTTCTCTTAGATAAATGACACGTCCTTCCATGTGTCAACACCGAGGCAACGCCGATTAACTCTACTATTTGGCTCGAAGGACCAAATGTATGGAATTCCATCTACCAGATTGATCGCAGATCAAAGTGGGTGGATTAGACCGTACCACGGGTTTAATGGGGGGGGGAGAGAAGTCACTAGAACCAATTGTGTTTACACTGAATTGATGCATTAACCTCTCACTTATCCCCCCCCCCATCATCATTAAACCGGCGGTACGGTCAAATCCACCCACCTTGATCTACGATCAATCTGGTGGCTGGAATTCCAAACATTTATAAATATCATAAAATTAATTTTAATAATATATCTGAATAATGATGAAAAAAGTATAGTGTAAATAATATCTGAAATAATATAGAATTTAAAATAATACTTATTACATTCATAAAATAGGAAATTAAAAAATAAAAGTACATAAACTTATAAATTATATTTTGTTGGGAAACACTGTTTATGTATTTTAATTAGTGGTTTTAATTTATTAATATTATTAATTAATAGTTTTTGTTCTGACATAATTTCACTGAAATTAAGCTTTTATTGTTCAAACTTTTAAATTCTAATTAATGTATGAAAATATTTAGGTTCAAATTAAAAAAAAACAATATAAATAGATTGATTATTTTATTTTTAACTTATTAATGTTCAATTAAAAATTATTGCAATATTTAGGTAATTATACTGATTTACATTATTTACATTGTTGAGTTCAATAGGTGAATTCATTATTTAATAAATTTATTGTATATCATAATACAGAACTGAAATATTCTTCCAACTGATTAATTCTCTACTATTTCTATAAAAAGTAACAATTTTCGTATATATGTATAAACAAAATAATATAGATTACGGAATGTTAAAATATCTAAATAATTACGTTTTCTATAAAAATATAAACTAATTTCTTATTTTTTCGTATGTAAGTTTAATATATAATAACACTTCCTTTCATATATTAAAAACAACAATAACAAACAAACAATAATATAAAATTGGTATATTCCAAATAAATAGTATTAACTTGAAAACTATTAAGAAAGCATATTTATTACATAAAATATAATTCATTATTTTGTATAGTACAAATAATATAAAATATTGTTAAAAAAGCTATTAGATGTTGTAATATCATGTTTCAATAGTTATACTACTTCAATACATTTGATAATTTATACATGGTAATAAATTTGACGAATATAGTTTAATAAATTTTACTATAAATTAATTCGATAGCGTATTTTATAAATCATCGTTTTTATATGCTAATAAATTTTTATTTTATTTTACGCTTAAGCTAATTTCTGCTCCAATATTTTAAAGTTATATATCGTATACACTTTATTTTTGTTTTTATTATATGTAGTTGCTTCACTAACGATATTTAAGTCTGATTTAGAAATATTAATATAATAGCAAAAAAATCAAATTTATACTTAAATCGATAGCTTATCTAGAATTTCTAATCGCGATGCATGTTTACTTTTTTTACCTATTATATGTGTGCTTAAATGATACCTTGGACTCCATCAATAAAGAAATCGAGAGGTAATATAGAATAGAAAATAGAACAACATGCCGTTGGTGACGTTAGTGTTTCCGAAATATATTAAAAAAAAATTTTAATGTGCATTTATCTCATTATAGAAATAATAAATAACTAATTCTGTGTCGACTATAAGTGGTTGGAAGCTGATCATTTTGATGCGGTAATGTTTAAAAAACATTTTTGGAATCGCTCTTACCTTATTACTTTGCTAGATTTTATAAAATAATAAATATTAAAAATTTTCTTTGTATTAAATTACTATTAAAATTTATTTTTATTATTTAATAATAGATCATAAAAATTTAAATAATAAATTTTTAACTCAAGCCTCTTTTTATTTAAAAATAAGAAAATGACAAATGTTAAAGTCAAATGTCAAAAACATGAAACATAAATATAAATAAAAAATACTTTTAATTTTCTTAGTACGTAGTTAAAATATTTATTAGTAACGGAGAAACATAAAATACATTATATACTCAATAAATTAAAAAGAGTTCAATTAATCCATAGATTCAAAATGAAAACAAATGAATATTAGATTCAGTATTAAATCCATATTAAATATAATAATTTCAATGTTACATGTTGTGACAAGATTTTTAAAAGAGCAATCTACAATCCTATTCAAATAATTAGACATTTTGATATTAAAATTTTGAGATCATTTAGGTATATAAGTTTAACATTGAAATTCAATTTAATATATAAAAATAAATAAAAAACTTCTAATAAACTAAACTATATTTAATTTTTCTTAATTTTGGATATTAAATATTACTACGTGTTTTGAAAAATCAAAGCCTATAAATTAATTTTTTTTAAATCAATATATATTTATATATATATATATATATATATATATATATAATGATGCATAACTGTAATTTAAAATGATCATATCGAACAGCTTTGGTTAGATTGATGAAGCAGCAGCGAGGATTTATCTAAATTCGACAAAACGTGTATTATAATATAAGATTATGTTTTAATTATGATTAACATATACTTATATGTTAAAATACAAAAAAAATTAAAGAAATCATTAAAAAGAAATCTAATCAATAAATTAAAAGCTTCTGTTCGGAAAATAATTCCACAATCTGACTCGTCAACCGGACGTGCAAAAATAAACTTAGAACAAAAATCCACTAGATGTTGTGTGGGCTTGCCGGGCAAGTAAAGGGTTAATGCATCGATTCAATAATTAACACAGGTCTGTTTAATTAATTTATTTTACTTTATCTCCAATGGGAATTATTAACCTTGTTGAAATTACAAATGATCTTTATATTTCTTGATAATCTTATGGTGTTGATATATCTGTTCATTGGATAATTAGAGAATAATCAATTTCTTATTCTCTGCATGTCACTGGTGAGATTATGATTTACTGTAACAAGGAGTAGGTTATAATCTATTGAATAGTATCACTAAGAGGTTATGGTGATTGTAGTGCTCTGATCGAACACTTCAATGCTATTGTGTTATCATAACACGTGTGCAGTTGCCTCTAAATATCGGTCGTAAGAGAGCCTAAATGGAGGTTATGCGAAGATGTGCACCATCTGTGGCGGGAACAACTTATAGTTGGAGGGATTGAGAAGCCAATGTGGCGTCTGTAGCTGTCTTGTTCAAGAGTATGTCCGGGAAGCTTTCGTAGTTGGACTTTAATTCGTCCGTCTTCTACATAAGCCGAGAAATCAAGAATGAGTAATAGCTGTAAGGACTTACTTGCAGTGTATCGTGATTTTCCAGTCTCTCTTCGGTGGCTTGTTATGACGTTCCCTTGCAATGTTGCAACTCTTTAGTTCTTCCTT